ACTGTCGACGAATCCTTTCACTATAGACGCCTGGGACGTCACACCCTAACCCTATATCTATTTGATAGTTCGAGTTGTGTCGACTGCAATCTATCCATATAGAAGGATTGGGCTCAAACTATGTTCATTATCCATCTCTTTCTTATTCTATTTAGTCATGATTTTAGGAATCTTGATGTGCTCCATGAGTGTCTTTCTAAGCCCTTGTTGAATAAAAAATTTACATACATTGATTCTCCAAAGATCAAAATTCTCCGAATCATCGAACTTCATAGTTATTATAATCCTCATAAACTTCTGCTTTGATACCAATTGTTTGGAAAAGAGTGCTTTGAACTTTTCACTATGGAAGCATCAAACCATAGGAAAGTATGATGAACAATAAAATAACTCTAAAATAGATGAATTACTAATAAAGAAAACACCAAAATGTATGTGGTCCAGTTTAAGAAAGCCAACATCCATGGGAAAGGAGATAATCTAATCAAGACATGCAATAAAATGTCAAAGGTATTAATTCTAAAAATTTTGAGTTTGCCCTCACTCAATTAATAGAAGAGAAGCTTTAAGTCTATCATGACAAGTAAGAGAGAAATAACTTCTAAGAGATAAGAAATAAAGAGCATTTAAAAAGTTACCCACTTAAGAAGTTCCTTTAAAGGGGTTTATGATTTTGTCAAGATATACTTTGAACGCCTAAAGATGAGATTCTTGCGTGTTTTTTTTTTTTCATTTTCTATCTCCTTCTCTCCTCTCTCCTCTCTTCTAATTTCTTCTCAATTCCTTCACAAACAACTCAAGATTGTCTTATGCATCCAGGCTTCCATGCCAATTAAGCTTCCATAAATGGCTAGTAGCCCAATACAAATCTATCTAACTTGTAAAAAAATCACTGGACATATTTTCAAGTTTTCACACAAGAAACTTGATACCATTTCTAAGCTTTCACATAAGAAGCTTAAAGCCTACATCACCTTGTGATTTGTGTATGATAATTAGTCAATGTCTAAGAAATTAAAAAGGTTTACAATATGTCTTCTTGCTTCAAAATTGATGTGGCCCAGAAGAGATCAAATTTGAGCTAATGAAACAGTGGTTAAAACCCCTTCTTTATAAAGAACTTAAGTCTATGGTAGATGGTCAGCCACTTAGTTTTTCGACACTAATTTTTACCTACCTAATATGAAATTCAACCAAGTACTCTTATTGTCCTTAAAATTATTTTCTATTTTTTTTCATATTTGTCTAAATCTAGATTACATTTCTTGTACTTTATGATAGAGATGAGGAATTAACAGTTTGTATATTTGTACCCAAAAAAAAAAAAATATTTACTTGTCTCTTGAATAAAACTGAAACCTTTGAACAGATTATGATGGCAACGACATATCTCAAGCAAAAGAGATCCTTCCATCTGCAAATGATGATAGTTTAGTACAAGTTTTTACATACGAAGAACTTGTTGCAGCAACAAAAAATTTTAGTGAAGATTGCATTATAGGTTCTGGTGGAGCTGGAAGAGTGTACAAAGGAGAACTCCAGGGAAAAAATGAGGTTAAAACACCTTACTTCAGCTACAAAATAATTATAGTGATTTACGCATTTAATATTAAATCTTTGTTGCATAATGCTTAACAAAAGACATCTAATTTGGCAAGGTCATTATTTTGTAGGTTGTAGCTATTAAACAACTTAAGAGGAATGCAAATCAAGGGAGCAATGAACTCCTTGTTGACTTAGCCATGCTCAGACTCATTCGTCATCCCAATCTTGTAGAACTTCATGGATATTGTGCTGTAGAAGATCAAATAATTCTTGTATATGAGTACATGCCTTTTGGTTCTTTGCAGGATCACCTTCTTGGTATGTCTAATACTTCTTGGTATGTTTAATACCTCCTCTTAAGTTTTTTTTTTTAGTTTATTAACATTTATTTTAATAGGGGTCATTTATTTATCAAAATTAAAGTGACTAATTGTATAAATTTTTTTTCCATATTTTAATCACTTTGCTATGGAAAGAAAAGGACCCGAATATTTTTTTACATTTAAATTATTTTCTTATTATTTCGCTAAAAATGTTATCTATTTTTCACATGTCAATACTTATCAATATTTCATTTGCTTATAACAATGCAAGTATAAGTACATCAAAGAGCAAGAGAAAATAGGCCCTACAAAGCTAGTAAATATCTTCAACATCTCCTGGTTGGTTGCCTATACATAGAATATGCAATTAGTGAATGATGAATTTTTCCAATCATTTTATGTGTCAAAATGATACATTTAAAAGATGTTTTGGCAATATTTATGGGGATTAATATCATTTTTTAATTTAAAACACAACTAACCAAATGATGATGATTCTAACAAATCATGCTTTCTAACTTCTAGCAACCAAATGGGCCATAAATGAATTAGCATTGAAAGCTCCCAAAGAAGCCAACATAATCTAAAGACAACAAAAAATATGTTCTTTCATATGTATTAAAATCTTGCAAAACTTCCAAGTTTAACTTGATTCATCATAGAACATGTTTATCAACAATGACAGAGATGTTTCTTCAATTTTATAAGTAGTTAGGTAGTGTTCATCAAGCTATCACAAACATACAGCTTATTACTATGATAATGGTGATGATGTTTATTAAAGCAAAACATAGCCATATTAGCAATTAATTTCAGAAATGATTACGCAGATATAGTACCAAATAATATACCATTGGATTGGTTCACACGAATGAAAATAGCAGCAGGAGCAGCCAAAGGCCTGGAGTACTTGCATGATGTAGTCAAACCTCCTATAATTTATCGCGACATGAAAGCATCAAACATTCTTCTTGATGAGAACTACAATCCTAAGTTATCAGATTTTGGCTTAGAAAAGCCCACAAGAGTGATGGGAACCTATGGCTGTTATGCTCCAGAATATGCTTTCACAAGGCAGCTAACCAAGACAACCGATGTTTACAGCTTTGGTATCTTGCTTTTGGAGCTTATCACTGGAAGGAAAGCTATAGACATCGCTAGAACAAAAAACGAACAGTATCTTGCTCATTGGGTATGTTTTTAATTATTTTTAATGTTTGTTTTGTTGTTTTATTTTGAATGATTTGTTCTTAGTAAGCTAAAGATGAAACCTTAATTAAACATTTGTGAAATTAAATATAAAAGTTATTAATTAATCACTTCATAAGTTGACCACAATAAAGGATGAAATCTTAGGGCCCATTAACTTGGTGTATATATAAATTAAACTTATTTGATTCTATTATTTGGCTTAATATAACTAGAAATTGACATGATTTTGAACTTAATAAGTCTGTAATGATTTTTTCATATAAAAATGAGTAAAAAATAAAATCAACACTTTTCTAAATTGTTTGTTCTATATTAAATCTTATAATAAAATATTTACAAATATGCTTAACATCAAAGATAATCAAGTGGTGATTGAAAACAAGGAACATCAAAGAAATTGCTTTGCCAATATTTGATACTTATGTGTCATAAAGACCTTTCAAAAAATATCTAGGACATGAGATAATAAAATAATTTGCTAATTTTGTAATACTTCTATAAATTAATATCCTTTGCTCTTGTGATAGTAACATCATGACATGCAAATCTTAGCTCTAATAAATCATAAAGAATTAAAATAAACCTACATCATGGCGAAAGACACTGACATTAATGGTTAAAAATTATGATTAAAGACCAATGTCTCACTAATAAACACAAATGATAATTAACTTTTATTGAGTAATTGTGAACCTTTTTTCATGGAATGTTTGGTTAATGATCTTTCTTCCAACTTATACTATTTTTTTGGGCAATGCAGGCTGCAACTTTTTTTAAAGATAGAAGGAAATATCCAAGAATGGCTGATCCACTTCTCAATGGAAACTATCCAATTAAGGGCCTTTACCAAGCCCTCGCAATTGCTAATATGTGCCTTCAATATGAAGCGAGCAGTCGCCCTTTAATGAGCGATGTTGTTACTGCAATTGAGTATTTAGTGAAGCCAGAGATTGATTGCTCTGAGCTCTTAGAAAAACCTTCCCTTCCTCATCAATTAATGCCTTCAAATCATGAAAACCTTAAGTTTCAAAAAATTCCTTGCAATAGCAGAAGGCGAACCAGTACCAGGAGTTTAGATGACGAGTGCTTTCAATCAATATCAAGCGAGATTGAAAGCTGTGGAAATTTAAGAGAAGAAGGTGAACAAGTAGAAGCATGAAGGAACAATGGTCAATGTAGAATTATGTTAAAAAAGCTTGTCACATCAAGAGAATTGATAATCTTAACCTTAAGGAAAGCATATTTGTATGATCAAATGAATATTATGAACTTGATGAATATGATTTATTGTAATTTACAATAATGTTGAGCTTATACTAGCGGGGTGTGACATTAATAGTCTTGAACACCAACTTTATTCTCTTTTATCTATAAATTACTTTATTCTCTTGTACCTATAAATTACTTACAAACCATTGAATAAAATGAAAGTGAAACCCATTAAGAGGGGGAAAAGTTACAGCTAAAAGCTATGAAAAATAAACTTGAACCATTACAAATGCCAGATGTATGATAAAAGAAATTTTAAATCTTGATGGGGGTAAGATCCATTGAGGGTTTGATTAGGTAATGGCTTTCCTTGACCAATCATGAAGGTCAGTGTCCTATGGGACCAAAATAATACTAAGCATAACATACAACAACAACAACATCAAACCTTTGTCCCACTACGTGGGGTCGGCTACATTAAACATTTTTCTCCATTGTGTCATGTTAAAAGTTAAATTCTCATTTAAATCTAATAAAAAAAGATAATTTCTAATATTTTCTAACCAAGTCGTTTTAGGTCTATCTCTACCTTTCTTAACATAAGTCAAATCTAATACCTTAACTTTCCTTACCGGGTCATTGGAAAGTCTCCGTTTAATGTGACCAAACCATTTAAGGTGAATCTCTCTAATCTTATCTTCCACTGGAGCTACTCCAACATTTTCACGTATATGCTCATTTTGTATCCTATCTCTAAGGGTAAAGCTACTCATCCACCTAAGTATCCTCATCTCTGTAACACTTAACTTAGTGTTATGCTTCTCTTTTAATGGCCAACATTCGGCGCCATAAAGCATTGCAGGTTAAGAAATGAGCATATACGTTAAAAATACAATACAAATTTGTTTAGAGCTCTCAAACTATAAAAATGCTTTCAACTTCTTGCAAAATAAGATAATTAAGAAATTTGAATTTCTACATGCTTTTGGTTGTGCCTAATAGATTTGCAATTAAGGTTTTGTTTGGGACAGTTTTTTTATTGCTTTTTAAAGCACCTTTCTAGCACAATTTTTAAATTAGAAATTTTTATACTAAAAAATCTCAAACAAAGTCTAAGTCACTTCAAACAAGTGGAGCTCAATTTGAATGAAGCTTTACTATTCCAAGATATATCAATTTATCATGCTTATTGCACATCTTGTTGGATGACAAAGTTTGGGGATGATTTTTTTTTTCTTTGAAGATGAAATTTCGTGCCTCAAAATGGGGCATAAAATTTTAATGTCTCAATTTAAATCAATAAAAAGGTAAATCGACACATTTTTTTCGGAGATGATTAGAGGCTCAAGGCAAAAATAATGAACCTTGGTTGCTACTCGTAGTTATGTCCTTTCAAGATAGTTGTTACAGTATTTTTAGAAAAATATTATAGCCAAAAGAGAAAAATAATAATCTCTACATGATCGTTGGTGGGTATTCAAAAGATTTGAGAGGGGGATAAGGGGGATTTTGAAATTTTTTTTACCAATTTCAAATTTCAAAAGCAAGAAATTAATATCTTCTATTTTAAGATGGTTTGAAAAATTAAAATAAATCAAAGGAAAAAAAAATGGAACCATGTGGTAGCCTTGCTCATAACATGGATAATCAGACGTAATAGATGCCTCAGACTCAGTTGTAACCATTTGTGCTCATTTTTTGACCCAAAATTTTTTTTTAAGCATTTAAGTACTCTACGTAGGATTATTTTTAAAGTTTTGGATTCATTTTTTAGACTTTTAGACAAGAATGGAGCCTCTAGAGACAATTTTAAGCCATTTTGAAGGATTTTAAGTTGACAGTTTTAATGATTCTTATCCTAAATGAAATGTTGGCTCCAATGATAGAATAAGTTAGAATTGAGAGGGAAAAACTTCGTTCAAGGCCCCGTGGACTAGTTTTTGTTGACTTCTAGGGCTTGCTCATGCCTTAAAACTTTTCCCAAAATTATAATTTTATGTCATATTTTTTTAAGGATGAGAGCATTTACAAATTCATTGAAGTCAAAAAATAGGTGGCAACTGATACACTCCTAGAAAATTTAATTGAGAATGAATTTTAATTCAATTTTTATATCCAAGACATCCAAGTATTTGAGCAAGAAACTTCTAGATTTTATTTTGATATTATCCAAATTTCATTTTTAGTAAACATACATGCAATTTGACAAGTTAAAAATAATGACACAAAAAATGCCTCACTATTAGTTCATATGGAGCGATTATTTAGATCATGAATTTATTTTTCTTTCTGACGAAGGATGCTCGCCTTCGTTTCGGCTGCTCCGCTAGGGCTTTGCCCTAGCTTTTCCTTCGCGTTTGCCGGGCCGCTCTCTGGCGGGCCTGGCTCTCTTCTCGTTTCCAGGGAAGTTTCTCTCTTCTTTGTTGGTTCGGTTTTATTTTGTTGTTAGTTTTTCTTCCTCCAGTGCGTGCCGGGATGGCGCCGAAGTTTTGTGACCCTGATTTCTTAGGGGGTTTGCCTTCTTCGCGTTCATTTTTGGATGTTCTTTTGGATTTTTCTTCCTGAAATGAATTTCCTGAACATAGGGCATCTTCCTTTCGTGGCTTTCCATCCCTTTGGATATCGGATCAGGAAATTAAGGCTCTGGTCGTTCCTTTTCAGTTCTCTTTAGTTAGTTTTTTCCCTACCAAATGCTCGTCTCTAGATACCATACAATTTTTTTTCAATCTCAAGCTAAATGGGGAGTTTTCAGTGACATTGTTGGACCCGTCTCATGTCCTTATCAAGATGATTATTGTCGCATTTTTTGCCATAGATTGTATCTGGTTTATAATTGCTACATGAAGCTTATCAAGTGGTCTCCCCTTGTTGATGTCGGTGTTGAGTTGCCGGTCATCACGATTTTGGTCTCTTTTCCGCAACTGCGCCCTCATCTCTTCTCCTCACGTATTCTTCATGGGTTGGCCTCTCTGTTTGACAAACCTTTAAAAATTGATACAGCAACTTCTTTGGGTTCTAGACTATCTTTAGCTAGTGTTTTAGTGGAGCTGGATATCACTAAATCCTACCCTGATGAGGTCTGGTTAGGATCGGAGAAGCTAGGTTATGTACAGCAAGTGGTTATGGATGAATTCCCTCATTTTTGTACTTCTTGTCGGTGTATTGCGCATGTTGTGGGAAATTGTCATCCCAAGGTCGCTGGCCTAGATTATGCGCAATTATCCCTACCTGTTAAACCTCCTGTTGAGGTTTCTGTGAACCCTGTTTTCTCTGTGAACCTTGTTGTCCATTTCGTGTCGGTGCTTGAGGTGCATGGATTGGGTTGTGACGTTGGTAATCTTGAGGAAGATGTTGCTGTTTTGCTTCATGTTAATGAGCTGGGGTCTCTGGTGCCGAATTCTCCTAACCCTTTGCCTGTTATTTCATTGAACAATACGATTTTTGTTGATGAGGTTGGTGTTGCTGGGTCTAATGTGAAGGTTTATGTGGATAAGGTGGCTGGGGTCTTACCTTTTATTCAGGTCTCTCGGGCTTGTGCTAGTGCTGGTGGTCTTTTGGGTTGTGCTGTTAATGCGTGTCCTGTTTTGTCTATGGGGGAGGTTGTGTCAGCTCCGTGTCTTTTAAATGCTAATGAGATGCATTGTGTGGCTATGGAGGATTATGGTGATTCTAGCATCCCTAATGAATCAGGATTGGTTACACCTTTGGGTGTGGTGAGTGAGAGACCTGGTGTTGCTCCTAAGTTTATTTCTCTAGTTATGCCTTCTATAATTGGCCATTTTGTTGAGGTTCATGTTAATTTTGTTTCACCTAAGCCGTTGGTTGCTCATATGGGTGCCAATTCGGGGGAGGATGTTAGGATACAACTTGATTGGCTATAGTGTTCATCTGATTCGTCTTTGAAAACAAGTGGGAATGATGAACCTGTAATTGTTTTTCCCTTAAAGAATGATCATCCTGTTGTTTCAGTTTCCTCTCGTGGGAGGGGTAAACGTGAGAGGAAATAACTTGTGGGTTGGTGCTGATATTCTCGGTTGTCTTTGCTGCCTCTCGATGATGGTTGATTTTTGCATTGGTCGGGTTTTACTTGATGCCGGTTCATTGAAGCTTCGATTTAAGTTTAATGCAGGCCGTTTGTGTTGCTGGGCAATGATGTGGTTGGGGCTCACTCCTCCGTAGTCAATGCTCATGGCAACCTTTGGTGATGATTTTCTTGCTCGGTTGGGTTGGATGCTTCTTGTTTTACTATTCTCCACTCCAAATTAGATGGTCTATGCCTGGCTACGGTGTAGTTGGTAGCCTCGGCCAATTACTGAGCCCGTTGGAATGTAACTCCCTTGTTTCTTTTGTTGCTTTTTTTGTTCCTTTGCTCTTATGCTCCTTGTACTCCTTTTATATTTTTTGATAAAGTTTTTGTTTTTTGTTAAAAAAAAATATCGATGTAAAAGCTAGTAAACTTAACAATAATTATAATAATGGTGATGATAATTTAATCAACTCAATATAATATCAACCACATATTTTTCAACATGCAAATTTCAGGAAAATAAATTTCTGAAAAGTAAAATACAAAAAAAAAAAATAAAAAATAAAAAAGAGGCAGAGATCTAGATTCCTCCTCTCTAGGTATTGGACTAAACCTTTAGTGACTCTTCTTTATCCCCACAACTAGGCGAAGAAGCCCTTACAAAATCTCTTCCACCAATCCGGTATGGCAGAGGACTATAATCTTTTCACCCTCCCAATGAGCTAGAGAATATGGAATTATTTTTCACCCTCCTGGTGAAGACAAAGAACCTCGAATCTCTTTCACCTTATCCGATGCAGCGGAGTAGCCAGATCCTTTGATACCAAAAATAATATCTTTCCCAAGCTTCCCTTAAGAAAAACCTTGACACTTGGAGGAACTCAAGTGCATGTTCACCGGAGCAACTATGTGGAACTCCCTCTCACACTCCCTTGAAATCCTACAAGGATCTTCTCCCTCTCTCACAAACTCCACCCTTTCTCTCTCAAGTTCTAGGCTCTCTCTTCAAGCTTTCTTCAGAAGAAAATAACTCAATGAATGTTAAAAAGACTATTACAAAGTCTTATGAGAAAGCTTAAATAGATGGCTAAAAAAAATATTCAATTCTGCCGTCAAAGTTCGTATAGTACGATCTCAGGATCGTACAATATGATGCTCAAAATTTGACCTATTAGTATTATACAATCATCGGTTATTACAATTTTATTAGTTCAAATTTTCACTATTCGTACTGTATGATTAGTTCAATTTTGATTGTTTGTGTTGTTTGGTTAGCATTTAGTGCAGTATGATATGTTCATATCATATAACATATCTACTATAAGAATGAACAATATTACAATATGATTAGTTCAACCAAATTGCATTTTGTCCAGGATAAATCATGGGACAACCAAATATAGTCTCTATCGATTGTACGGTACATTCAAGTACGTACAATACAATAAAAAGATCAAAAGTAAACAAATTTGATTGAATAATTAATATCTACTAAATAATTGAATAGTTCATACACTTTTTACTGAATATTTGCAAAATCATAGCAAATGGATAGTAAAAAAGTATTCATAATTGAATATTTATTGCCATTTTATTGTCCTTTTGCAAAAACGCAGCAAAAGGACAGTAAAAGTGCAGCAAATTCAGGCGGTTCTCTCCGCCCAGTATCCGCACAGAATAATTTCTCTAATAGTTGGCATCTAATATCCACATCCACTAATATCTGATGCAGTTCATTTTTTCTCCTATTTTTATAAAAGAATTATCAGATCATAACCATCACATTAATAGTGGTAAGCAATATTGATCTACTCTTTTCATATTAGGAAGGAAGGCATATTAGCAAGCACACTAAAATATTATAAGATCTTAATAAAGAGAGTAAATTATGGTAATCTTAAATATTTGAATGAAATGAATTACACAAAAGAACATTGATGCAGCCATGCTCTTCACTGGCACCATTATTATCCACATCATCAAATCATAGGTTTTAATAATTAAATAATAGTAAATACATCGTAAAAACTTGTGTCTAGGATTTGGGATATTCTCATTTAAATTTCACACAATAAAATTGTTGTTATTTTAAAATCAGTATAGGATCAATCGACTTTGTCAAAATAAATTAAATGAATTAAAAAAAATACTTTGGTTGAATTTACATTAGAAAAAACTCATCTAGATTTTACATTCAAAGCCAGTTACAACATCGCTTTCTTGTTTTAAATTATGCTCTCCAAATATTAAACTTACAATTAAAGTATTTGTTCTTGTAGCTTGGGCATCTGAGTTCCTGCGCTGTTGGAGAGATCTATGAGCTCAACGGTATGCTTATTTTCCGAGATTCCTTCGATATTATGCTTGTTCAAGATGCTGCGTGATTCTCACAGGTTATGAGCTGGGATTTGTTTTCCATTTTTGGGGAAAATATGAGAGCTTGGTGTGTACTGTCGCAGTCATGTAAGGAAAACCCTAATGCAAGGAAATTAACTCTCGCTTTGCGATCAAGTTTTGGCCCTCCTGTGTCCTTTGTCGAGTTTTGTTGCTGAATGCTGATGGTTTTGATATATTTGATGATTCTATTCACTCACTATTGCCGGTCCATATCAGGGATTTGGTATCAAATCATAATCGCTTTTTACTTCTTGATTCAAGATTCTATTTTATCCTTAATGGAGCTAGGTTGTGGTGTTTCTTGGTAGCTAACCTATTCTTGGTTTGATGGTGTTGAAATGATTTATGATGATGATGATGATGATGTGGGCCTTTCATATTTGTTCTTTTTTTTGGTGTAGGACGGGTTTGCCAGTCTCTGGAGTTGATGTAGTTTGAGTTTAGGGTTCTTTTTGCCATGTTTTTTTTTTTTTTTTTAACGTTATTTCAATTTTCATGGTTACTCTGGTTTCCAGGATTTTGTTGAAGGGGATAGATATGCACATTGGTTTAAATGCTAAAATTGCTTGGGTCTTGGATTTCTTTTATGTGAAGGTCAGGTTTAAATACTAAAATTGCTTATATTTTAAAATTCCCTTGCTTTGGAGGTTATGCTTTATAGTTAACTAGAAATGAATGTGTTGTAAAACTAGGAAGTCTAAATTTAGAAAATATTATATTAGAGAGATGAAAAAGCTACACATAATTAAGATAAGATGCTAAAAAATAAACTTGGGTAGAGGATATGAGAGGCACTGAAAAAATGAGTAGATAAAATTAATGTCGATAATAAGGAGGAAAAAAGATAGGCCAAAGATTGCATCTCTTGAAATTGGGCAGATACATTGACATAAATGAAGCACTCAATATAAAGTTATAAACAAATGAAGGCTGAGGATTAGCTTTTGCAGTTACACCTTTTTTACTTTGAAATTTATCGGGTCTCAAACATGTTTCTGGAAGGGTCTATTGGAAATGCTATAGGCACAGAATTTGGTTTCTATCTTCCATCCTTTGGTTATTCTAATTTTAGGTGATTTTCACTTTCTTTTACATATTTTTTAGCCTCATAACCAGCCTCTAGGCATGGAAATGTTCTATGTATGGAATATATCCTGTTCTTGCACCATGTTATCTTTTTTGTGGTCATGTTCCCTCCGGCCAAGTTTTATTTCTGCTGGATCCTAAATTAAAGATCCTTTCCATCATTCTTTTTTTCTTTTTTATGTTTAAGTTGTCTTCGTCATTCAAGAATTTTTTTAATTACTGATATTTTCTTTGTTGACAGATCTGTTTTCTGCTAGGTTACTTCAATAATATGAAAGTTTAATGGTATGAATATGAAGAAATTTTATAGAAGTAGGTTGCAAATTTATTAACTGGGACTTCAAGCTTGTGAGATAGGCTTAACCTATAGCCGGATTAGTGAAATTTTTTGCTCAATATGTTTGGATAGTTTAAGTGAGGATGCACAAAAAGCATGCCAAATGTCATCAACCATTCCCCCTCGTGCGAAGTATCGGACAAATTGTTAGATGGAATACATTAGTACATTTTTTTTCTTGGGAACACCTTAAAAATAATTTTTAAAGGAACAACTCAACCAATTAGGTGATAATGACTGCCGCATATTTTGCTTGCAGTGCACCCCTAGTCACTTGATTATTAAGCAACTCGCTCATGTTGCTCAATGATTAGGTGATTAGCCTACATGCAGGCACATGCATGGCTAGCTAGTTGCCAATTGAATCCGCTGGCCTATAAGTTATATTGGCTTCACTGCTATGCTTTAAGCTCCATTCGTATGCATATATGATTTTACCAATAAGCCCCACCACTATTAGACATAGTCTTCCTTCTATTGGAAGAGTAACATGAAATGTGTATGTTATGCGTGGAATCTTATTGTATTGATCAATCTGGTTGTTATGTTATCTCGGACCTTAAATTTTGTCGTGTTCGCTAGCCGAATTTTTTTCTATACAACGCCCCGATGCTGTGTACTTGAGCGTCCTAGTGTTGTGTTCCCGAGCGCCCCAGTGTTGAACGACAAAGAGCAAAGCACCGCAACGATATAGATACGACACTGCAACGGTGCAAGACAGAGGCTTGATTGCCACAACGCCCTGTGGGCTCCGAAAATTCCATTTTAGTGCATGATCCCGGCCTCTCCGCACCATCCGTCTATTTTTTTCTTATAAGTATTTTTGTGACGATGATGGTAGAGAGTTTTAATGAGATTAGGTTCCAGGGAAATTTTCAGAAGGCAGATTGGGTTTTAGATAAGACACTATCCAGAGATTTCGCCCTCATTTTGTGAGGGCTTTTTGATCTGAGTTCTGTTTTCCTATAGGCGCAAGCCCCTATAGTTAATTACCCCTCCCGACAATGTTTAAAATTGCGTATTCGGGTATTGAGGCGTTTTTCATTCGTGAGGCGAGGCGTAAGCCTCAAGGTGTTTTGAGGCGTAAGCCTCAAAATCAAAAGATTGCGTAAACATAAAATGATAAATTTTTTATATACTAATGAGTGAATAATATAAAACATAAAAAAGCATAAGATATGAAGTGAAATCAAAATATCCCAATAATAAGACAACATTAAATATAGTTCAACACAAAATTCTATCTTTCTCAAATCCCAATATTCTTTTCATTAACATATAATTCCAATTTCCAAAAACAAATAACAATGACATATCACATAAGAACTCATAAGTCATCAACACTGTCACACTAAGGGGTTCTTCATTTGAATCATCATTATGATAAACTGCTCTCTCCCCTTCCTCCTCTCCTATAGAGTCCAATGTCGGGCATTTACTTAAATATTTATGTAAGTTTTAATATATATATAGCGTGAGGCGTAAGCCTCATGCCAGTGAGGCAAGGCAGGACTCAACCAAGTTGAGGCGCAAGCCTCATAAAAAAAACTCAAGGCGTAAGAATCGAGGCGTTTTTTACTGGAACTGCGCAAAGGCGAGCCTCAAGGTGAGCCTCATATTGCGCAATTTTAAACCATGCCTCCCGATAACAGGAGAGAAGTTTTGATTAAGGCTAGTCGTTAAGGAGGTCATATGGATCATAAATCCAATGTATAATAGCAACAATTTTATGGTTTGAATTTGATCTTTGATTTGAATTTTTGAAGTTTGGAATTTAGAGTTTATCACCGTAAACTTAAAACTGGTGGTGGGGGAAATGAAGACAAGCCCGATCAAGATCCCATGGTTCCGTTATCCCAGGCTGTCATGTTCCCTGGTCTACTTAATCAGAGGAGGTAGTTTACCCAACCTGATAGAAGGTACCTTATCGATAGCCATGAGTTGCTTCGTCCAAGAAGACCTTGTAGATCTGGGTTGATGTTTGTCTAAGGGATATATCTAAATCCACCTTAGCTGACATAGGGCTTTAAGCCTATCAGATATACCCTATGATTCATCGCTCAAGGGTTTGACGCCTTTAGGGAACATACGGGCTTTGGCCGTGATCATAATATAATGATGCCATTTTGCGGCAAAACCACCCTATTAGATGGCACGTGCCACGTCCCTGCTGGCAAGAGACTATTTGAGGATGAATCTTAGTGATACACCCGACATGCAATCGTTCTTTGTGATCTGAGGTTAATTTCAGATTTATCACCCCCGACAAATAGTTGTGGGAGGTGGATGAATTTTAGTTTTAAGTTTTCAATTGATGTATTTAATTTCAAGAATTTGGACTTTTGTTGGATTTGAGATTTGACTCATCCGGTTGAGATTTTCTGTCAACGCAGTCATCATCGGGGCGACATATAGCATTTGCATTTGTGTATTGAACCTTGTCGATTCTATCAACTTGCCGACAGAAGATCGGGTTCATACTTGACTTTACTTGTTGACCCGAGCAGCATCCCTAAATGTCACGTGTGTTTTTATAATATGCTCGTTGTGGCTCATGTGGGTATTTAGGGGGGCATTTTATTATTCAAATCAGTTCGACTCCAATCCTTTTTTGAGGGGGAGGGTGAGATTTGAATATTTGACCCGTGTAGCATTCTTGAATCGTTGGGTTTGGGACTTAGATGTGACGATTGAAGCACATGCAGGTAATATCTAGTTTAAGCATAGAATGTGCATTTGACCCTGCGCAGCATTCTCAGACATCGGCATTTAGAAATTTATTGTATTTGTTGGAGCACATGCGCGTATTATGTTTAGTTTAAGGGATCTTATTTAATACGTAAAAGGGGATTTTAAATATTTAAATTTGATCCATTGCACAAGTTATTTCGTTTAGAAAATTGCCCTGGATTTCTTTTAAAGGACTACGAACGCCTTATGTCTGCTTGTACACATGTTGCGGATCCGATGGCGTTACTCTAAATTAGGTTTCATTTGTAACACATAGAAGATATCCCATTGTCGTTATTATCCCACTCAACATAGCTTACAGTGAATGCTTGTTCAATAGGCATTAGAAGATCGTGCTAATATTCGTAGAAGAATTATCTTGCTTGCTATAGTTCTCCTATTCTCTCCCATAAATAGATTGATTTATTTGACACAAGCTCTTTGTCCTTGCTTGCAAACTAGTTGTTGTGGGCACTACGAATTCCCTATTCCTTCTCATAGGTGAATTGTAGTATGTTGTATTTTGCCTGTAGGTTGAAGAAAATAGTTTGACACTCTAACAATTTTAGACCTTGATGAATTGAGCTCTTTTTCCTCAAGTGACTTGCTCTACATTTTTAGTTGAAGACTTGGAATTGGAAGTCACATATATAACTGAGAGGAGGACCATCCACTTGTAAGGATGTTTGTTGAACATGAGATTTTGTTTCTTGTATTTTTTTTATCAATCATAATTGTTCAGTAGTTTGAAGAGCTGCACTATTAGAGAGCTATTGTG